GGGGGGGGGGGGAGGAAAAGGGGCTTTAGCATTTGACTGCTCCTCCCAGCCACAGCCCTTTCTGGAGACATCTCTGTCTTTGACTTTCTTTGGATTCATCTCCTTAAAGGTATGGCTAAACTTATAAAACCATCTGAACTTGATATCTGGGGCAATTTTTTTAAACCATAAGTCAATTTCTTTGTTATTCATCAACCCAAGTATTTTATTTCTTCCCGATTAATTTTAACAAGTTGCTCTCTTTAAAAAAATTCCTATTTTGTTTTCAAATGTATTGGAAGAAAGTTGTTCATAAATGGTTCTCTCATTTTAAAGCCTCTATGTTGTGAAGTTTTCCAGTTTTTTCTATAAATTGCTGTATTCTATTATTTTTCAAGAAATAAGGTTTTGACTTTATTATTTTCTTCTCTGAATTGTACTAATTCCTCCTTCATTCTTTCTTTGGACTATATTGGTCTTCCTTTTAGCTTCTTTAAATGGTAAACTCATTAATTTTGTCATGTAAAAAATTAAATGCAACTGGGCTATTTATGCCCCTCTAAGCTATGCTTTAGCTGCACTCATGAGTTCTCATATGCATAATGAGAACTAGTCCTACATATATCAGAATTTCCAATGACATTTCTTTACTAACTTTTTAAACTGTCTTTTCATTGTTTTGTAAACATTTTGTGTGTATTCCATGTGTGTTAGAAAATAATGTATATTTTTCTATTTTTTAAGGACAAATGGGTATTAATTTCTGTGAGAGATAATTAGCTTTTCACCTATGATTGCTGATCTTTGCTCTCTGTATTTTGAGCATAACTGTTAGATGCTTACAAGTTCTAAATTTCATGCATTATCAATATTGCTACCCCAGCCTCCTTTTGGTTAGAGTTTGTCTGTTACATCTTTTTTCTTTCTTTTACTTTCAACTTTTATACAATTTTGTTTTATGGTTGCTCTTAGCAGTTGTTACATCCAGTTTGATACTCTTTCCACAGGTAGTTTAGCATAATCACATTTGCTGTGACTGAGAAATATTTGGACTCATTCCTTCCATCATCTTTTGTGTCCCTGCTTGTCATAATTTTCCCTTTCCACACCCTACTCATCTGGCATTGGATCGATGACCCTTCTTTCCTCTCTACCTTTCTGGTTTAAAAGTTATCTATTGTATTCTTGTTCTGGCATGATCATTTTACATTTTTTTTGTTACCTTTACATTGTTGACGCACGTAAACTAGCTGTAATTCTATCTTCGTCACTGCCTGCCTCATTCCTGTTTGAACACCTGACTGCAGATGAGCAGAACAGAACACAGTGCTGGGAGCTTAAGACATAAGGAACTTTGTGCCTTTACAGACAAGGCAGACAGCAAGAGTTGCTGATATTTATTCAAACTCTATCCATATAATAAAGAACTCTGATTTTCAAATTTCATTTAAACCAACAGAAACAACAACAGACAGTGACTAACAGATGAGGTTTTAAAGTGCCTTTATGAGGAAGAGATCACAAAAAATGGTGGACAATCCCAGGCTGAGATGGCAGGAACCATGTCTGAACAATCAATATATTAATTAAATTAGGAGACACATCATTTTTCAAATAACTTATACACCAGAAGAAAAGCTGCCAGGTCTTGCACATTTACTGTTTTATTACCACACTCCAGAAAGCTCTGGCTGGCGATGATGGCTGTGCCCGTGGTGGATGTGGTGGGGAGGAAGCCTACTGGCCTCAGGCTACAGCAAGGTGTGGGACCGGAGGGTTGGGGACTGTAAAGTGACACATTTCCAGCAGCATGGAGGCTATAAATACATCCCTTACATTGGATACATATGTACACACATCAACATATATACACACATATAAAAATATCTGCCCCAACCAGATACAGAGTGTTTCCAAAGAACAGAATTTGTTTCTGAAACACACAAAAAAAGGTAAAACAGAAGAGTTTTCTTTCCAGTTCTGCTTTGAGTGGAATAAAATAAACTCTGCACCTTTAAATTTCTGTACTTTGGGTGATTTTATACAGTATACGCAGGGTGACTTTACTCCATATGCAGGTGGAGGAGGAGGTTGGAAAGAGGCAGAGGCGAGTCGAGCTCAGGTTTTCACTGTTACGTGTAACATCATTGGTTCAGGTGATACCCTGCATCTTTATTTATTCTTTAAAAACAATTTAAAAATCCTAATTCAGTGAAGCTTGTTAAAAAAATCAAGAGTCCCATGTGTTGTTGTTTTTTGTAGAAAAGGTTAGTATTTTAAATTATAGTTTAAATTTCCTTTTGAAAATTAACTACACAGGTAAAGGAATTTCCTTGGTTTCTAACTGCTTTCATTTGTAGAAATGCTGCCTGATTCTATCGAGGGCTGCATTCACCTGTTGCCAGGTGGGCTTCAGAGAGTGCCGTCAATTTCCACAAGAGAGTCCCCCAAATCATTGAGCGGCATATACAACATGCTGCAATGTAAACCCCAGTAACAAAAAAATAGTTTCATATCAAATGCAGTATCAAATTGTCATTTCATGTAAACACAGTGATTCTTGGTAAAGATTCGAGGCCAAAGTACCACAAAAAAAATGGCCGTGGGATTAGTCCCTGCTTTAAAAAAAATTTGTAAAAGAGAAAATAGTCCCCCCACCCCCTCTCTCTTCAAGCTGTTGGGTCAGTGAATCAGTGACGTCTTTTGGAAGCAGTCCCAAAGTATGTGCATTCCTGCAGAAAGCACCAGACCAGAAATGTCAGAAACCAAAGCAGAGTGGCTGGGACTGGCTCCTGCCGGCTGCGTGGCACAGGCGGGAAGGGACGGCCCTGCCTCGGAGCCCTTCCGCACAGGCGGTCTGCTGGCCTGCAGTCCCCCCTGTCCGGTCCGATTTTCCGGGGAAGCCTGGTGTACTGGTCTTCCCATGGAAACCGGTCTCTGCGCCCTGGGAGGGGATCCTGGCATGGAGGCCGGAGGGCAGAATCTTCCTGAACCTTTCCTCTGAATGTCCCCACGCACTGCACCATGAGGTTCTGTGGGCAGCGGGCAGCTCCTTGTTAGGGTCTTGTCAGGGTCCTCCGTCTCCAGGGCGTCTTAGAGCACCGTCCCCTCACCAAACTAGGCAAGCCCAAGCAAAGGAAAACTTAGAGGTTCGCAGGCTGGTCTCCTGCACAGGGGACCCGCTGGTGCTACCCCTGCAGGTCAGAGAGGGGGGCGCCACAGCTCTCGCTGCAGCTGGAGGAGTTGCTCAGCAGAGCGGACCCTGCGCTGGACTCTGCGGGAAAAGCAGGCGAGAACGGCTTCGGCTCCGTGCGTGCGCACTCAAGCCCCTCTTGCTTGTCAAATAGGCTCAAGGCCATGAAACGCGACGGGCTCAAGGCACGGCCAGTGCGGAACGCAGGGTCTTACCTGAGCTGCTCAAGCACTGTGCCGAGCTGGACTTGCCGAGGAGCATGGACAGGCTGCTGGCCGGCACCCAGCCCTCCTTGCTGGAGGTCAGGTTCCTGACATACCTGCAAGGGGCGTGGGCCGGTCAGTGGCTCCAGCCCACGCGCCCAGTGTGGCATGAAGGTGAGCACACGTGGGGCATCTTACCAAAGGCCGTCGTCGCCCTCCTGAACCACCTCCACCATGTCTCCGCTTCTCACGGCGAGTGTGTGGGGGCCTCCCTTCTCGTCGTCCGCCACGACCGTGTACTTCCCTGGGACCTGTGGGGGGAGGCACATAAACCCTCTGCTTCTGCCCCAAGCGCTGAACACAGGCCACGGCAGCTATCTGGCAACAGGCAAGGTCCCACAAGAGTGGCCTTTGAAGTGCCCAGCGACAAGAGCAGGACAAGATCACTCTGCCAGGGCCCTGCCATTTGTGGAGCTTCTGGTGTGGTGACTGCCTTAAACTGTGGTCTTCTAGTTGTATGAGGATGCTCGGTCTCGTAGTGCGACCATGCTAAAAAAACCTACTCAACCTACAAAGTGCCCTCTGCTTGTTTCTGGTGGTCTGGCCTTGCTCCCTCCGCTATGCCACACCGAGCGGGGCTCAAACACTCCAAACAGCCCCTGGCCCCAGGATCTTTGCACCTGCTGTTCCTTCTTCCTAGAATACTCTTCCCTCCTTGGCCTCTTTTCTGAAGTGGCAGCCATCCTCACCTAACTTGCTACATATTTTACTTTATTATTATTATTGCTTTGCCTTCCTATAGAAAGATTCTTGTCTACTTTGTGCCCTGTTTTGTCTTCAGTGCCTCACACAGTAGATGCTCAACATATATTTGTGGACGATGCTCCGATGCGGATGTGTGCCAGGGAAGAGGAGGCCATTTGACGGAGGGTGGGGGGAACTCAAGCCTCGTTTGCCAGTAAGACAACACATGACAACATCCAGCTAAACTGCAGGATGGGGCTTCAGGGGTGCAGGGTTTGGAAGCCAGGAGGTTGAGGGTGAGAGTCCTTTATCCTCATTGGGGCCACCATGCCCTCTCAGGATGACCTGCACTGGCTCCTAACTGAGAATGTGCTACTTTTCTGAAGGGCAAATCGGGTGTGCATGGTTCCCTCTGAAGGAGAGCCTCCCTCTGTGTGGTGGTCTGATGATGGTGAACTAACAGAGAGGTGGGGACACAGAGCCACAGGAAGCCCTAGCACCTAAAAGTCCCCCCAGCAGCCACAGGAGCTGCAGACCACCACACTGGAGCTCCTGGGGCTCCCAGGGACCAGCAGCGCCAGGCTGACCACCCAGGGTGAGCCAAGGTTACCAGCTTCCGGGGGCCCACTCCGCCTTCTTCCTCCGCATCTGAGGAATTAATCGGCTCCTCGGCACTCGACCAGCCGTCATTGTCCTCAGGGGCCTCCAGTGGGTGAGATGTTTTGCTCCAACCTGAGAGAGGAATAGGCTCCAGTGAGGACTGCCCTCAGTGACAAGCCTGTCTGAAGATGATCTACGAAAGTCCCTGCAACCCCCAAAATGTGCCATCCACGTGGAGCCTGCCCCCTTCCCAGGAGCTTGTAAAGACCGCAGGGCACACAGCTGACTTCTGAAATGCCTGCCACGTTTGCTTCAGCTGTGCCAATAGTCCAGAGCACCTGCTTCCATTGCCAGGCCAATCAGGGGAGAGAAATGAGCTCCTAGCCCCTCCCTGGATGGCTGTGCACTCTCCAGCACGCCCTGTGGCTTCCCAGAGGAGGAGGAGCCCTCCTCACCTGGCCTCTTGCCTGCTGATCCCAGTCCCAGGGGAGCACAGAGACTCTGAAAGACCACTAGCTAGAGGCACAGCCACCATCTGTGTTGGAGCAAACACATGGGAGGGAAGGTATTTTCAATGAACGCTTGTACCACTCAACACCCATGAGACTGGGCTACAAGAGCACCTCACACAAATGGCTGAGGCTTATTGACAGAGCTCTGCTCCAGACACACTCCTAGCCCTTGACGTGTGAGGTAAGGGGTTTGTGATCCTCATGGGACTGACCCTATCAGGTATCAGCTTCTGCAGGCTGTGAAGGCAAAGCTGGGATCCCAAACCAGGCCTTTGGGCTGCAGAGCAGGTCTGCATAAGCTCTAACCACCCCCACTGGCCAGAGAATGAGAAGAAAGCTTTCTTCTGGACTTTATAAAAAATATACATTCCTTCATAGCATTCTACTGCCATGTATCCCCAAAGAGAAGCAACTATATTTCCCATTTGCGGGGAGAATGCAAGTAAGTTGTGGGGAGATGGGAGATGATGAATTCCTGATTCTGAATAATTGAAATAAATGCCAGTAATAAAGCACCAAGCTGAAGCCACATACTTCTGGTATTTGATCACAGCCATTGAATGGTATCAAATAGCATCTGGGAGCGGATCTGGGAAATAAGCAGACTGCTCATCAGATCTGGGCTTGGGCACATCCAGTTCCAAGTTACATTTGCAGTGGCTGGAAGCATGCTTTTCCCTAAGAAAGAGGGTGCTGAGTGTGAAGGAACCACAGAGAGGGAAGCGCAAAATGCATGCTCCCTTTTATGAAGTCAGGGCTGCAAAGGGCCAAGCTGTCTAATGGGCAAAGGCTGAGAATGTTTAAGCTTCGCAATGAAAACCTTGTGTTAAGGGACAATAGAAAGCAGTCTTTGCCTTCCTAGAAAAGGGATCTGGGACCCAGAGTTCCCCATCAGCCGGCAGAACAGTGAGCCCTGGGAAGAAAGCCTGTGTCTGCCTGTGTCCTCACAGCCAAAGAAGCCAGCAGATGCCAGCATCCCTGGAAGCTCCTCTGAACATCCCTCTACACAGCAGGCCAAGCCCAGCAGGCCAGGGAGCCTCTGAGCTTTGCCTACCTGGGGCCAGGTGCTGGGGCAAAGGGAAGTGTGCTGAGCACTGCCCTGCTCATGTCACTACCAGGCTTGTGTCTGTGAAGGAATTAGGGACTATGACTTTCTAGCTACCAACCACCCAACCTCACCTGCTTCACTGCTAACCTCGTCTGGAGTTGTTGCACAGTGTGGGAAGCTAAGGAGAACAGTGGGCAGGGGACACTGAGAGGGTCACAGTGCCAGGTAGCCTGGCTACAAAGACCCTCCCCCTCCTGCCTACCACCCATAGATACGGTGGGGTTTCTGGCAAAACAGAAGCAGAAGTCTGAGGACAGTGATAACAGGGAGATGAAGGCTGTTCTATGGGCAGAGCAGGTGGCAGACCTTAGGTTAACCTCCGCTTTAGAGAGCGGTGTGGATGTGTTTGTGTTATGAACAACTCTGCCCTCTTGCGCCTGCAGAGAAAAGAAGGTTTTCTAGACACACAGCAGCATGTAGGCCTGTGGTTACTCCTGTCTGCCCTGGAGCCTCTGGGTGAACCTCTTTAACAGGCTCCAGTAGCGTCCCTGCCTTAAAACAGTGTAACAAGGGAGTCAGCAGAAAATCCTGAGACCCGACTGTGTCTGAGGCCCCAAGTGCGAGATGCGAATATGATATTTGTCAACATAACAACCACAAATTGGGGCAGCATCCCTCTTTGATCAGCATAGGATGTTGGGGATTTTGCAGGAGGACACTGCGCCAAGGTGACCATGAATATACGGTCACCTCTATTTGCTGTAAAACAGTCCTTGGTATTGATATTGAGTAAAACAATGGCTGATGAAGCTTTTCATTTGCAACAGGGCCAGCCTGGAAGGCCCAAGCTTGTCGTCACCTGCAGTAGATGGACATGATCAGTGGTGATGAGGGTGAAGGGCACTGTGCGTGGGACTGTCACACACATCTATCGTGACCCTGTAAGGGGGCCCTGTCTTCATTTTACTGATGAGGAGACAAGCTTGCAGAGGTGACAAAATCTGGCTAAAAAGCAGTAAAAGCAGCATTTGAGCCGCACTGGGCTGTGCTCAGGCCCACACTCACTGTTGCCCCACTCCGGCCTCCTGTGAGGCCACCGGAGACAGGTCTCGGGTGTCTCCAGGTCTCAAGTAGAAAATGCATAAGGGAAAACACAGCCCTTCCCCGCAGACGCTCAATGGGAAATGGCCCTTCTCCCGAGCGCCTGGGGCAAGCTGGGTGCCGCTGTGGGAAGGCTGTGGGAGATGCTGCCCCTGGGCTTTGAGCTGTCATGACCGGGGGCAGCAGGAGGGCCGCAGCCTGGGTCCTCAGGGGACAGAGTATGATCTGAGGTCAGAAGGGGCCTTAGGTAACCTCTGGGTGGTCTCTGGCTGTCAGTGTGGGGGTTCAGGTTCAGGCTACACGCCTTGGGAACTTTCAAAATTATTTGCAAAACTCAGGAAGATTCACAAAGTGAATCCTTTCAGAAAACTTGAGACACTCAACCTGGGCCAGGGGACCCTTTGGGTTTCCCTGGGAGGCGGGGGTGGGGGAGCTTTGCCCTTAGAATATGAGGGGCAAGAAAGGAGAAAGGCTGATTGCCAACATAGAGCTTGACACCATCTATCTATATGATTGGTCATCTCCACATGAAATGAGAGGTCTGATGGGATCCTGTAGCTTATGTTCTGTGTTTATGGGATTATGTTCTGTGTTTCCACCAAGAAGTGTTGGGATAAACTGGTAAAGTTGGGGGCAGCTGGTGCTATAGGGGCCAGTGGACAGGGGTGCCTTGCAGCCTATAAAGCCACTGAGTAATAAAGCCCAACCCAAATGCCAGCCAGATGCCAGCAGCCTCTAACTAGTGGCCAGCAGGTAGTTCCGTAGGTTCTGGGCGGGCCTGGTGTGAGGAGTTCAACCGAGAAGTGTGACTTCCTCCCAGCATCTGTTGCCAGAACATCAGGCTTTTGAACAAAACAGTAAGTTTGCTTCTGCCTAGTGGGGACCTATTTTATCTTGCATCCTAGATGACAGACAGCGTCCCTAACCGGATGGGGAAATGGATGGTGGGCTATGTCCAGAAGGTTGAACCACTCTACCTCGTAAACCAAAAGGCGTTGGGTCGCTCTTAACTTCATGTCGCTTAGCTTTTTTGTCAGGACTGGTAGGAGAAGCTGCAGAAGGAGGAAGAGGCAAAATATAACAGGAGAGAAGAGAGAGAAAGTGAGGAATTGCAGGCGGAGAGCTGAGGCGGCCACGAGAAACATGGAATTCATGCTGGGGGGCGACATAAACATCGAATGGCCTAATTTTCACTGATTCAAAAAGTGGCTTCCTGGGAACAAAGCCAAGCTGGCTGAGGGATCCCACAGTTGAAGGGAGAGGGATGAAATTGGTGTGCAGCTGACTCTGGCCGTCGGTATCATCCATAGGGGGCCATTTCTCGGTTCATTTTCTGAGCTCCAGGAACATTTTCTGAGCTATGCATACACATTCCATACTTAGCAAAGTATATAGTGCCAGGATTAGTCTTTTTTTTTTTTTTTTTTAAGTTTGAGGCCAACTTAAAAGTATTTTATAAATTGGGAAAAAACCTCTAATTTTTTAGACCAGCGTCTGGACCAGTGGCAAGAACCCTAGACGACACTGGCTTTCAGTATCCAGTGGGAAGTCCTTGAAGGGCCCACCTGGAACTTTAGGGCTTGCTTCCTGAGCTATCTTGGGGTGTTTCCCTCCCATAGAGTTCGCTGTCAAGGAGCACTCAAAGGTGGTCGAGCTTTTAGAAATCTCTTTCCAAGGGACCCTTGATCTGCCCTGTGTACCAGAAGGTAGCTGCCAGCACACTTCAGCATTCCGGTGTAGAGAGTGATTGCAGCCAGAAAGATTAGTGCCCACGGGGGCTGACAGGAAAAGGCAAGAAACAGGGAGGGTGACATGGAAGGAATTGGACCAAAAAAGCAAATGACAAGTTGTTTCTGAGCAAGCCTTCCTTAGAAAAGTTCACGTCCACCTTTTCCAAGAAAAAGACCCCCCCCAGGAGAACTTTGGCTGCATGCATAACAGACACACCAGTGTCAGCTAAAAAGTGGCTCAGAGGGAAAATGCTCCTGAATGAATGGCTGCGCTTGGGATGAGGCAGGCAGATGTCCTTCCCGAGAAAGTCCTCACGAATGATCACCACACAGATGGATGACAGACGTGCCACCTTGGCCAGGGACACGTCCAGAAAATGACTTTAGGTGGGTGCCTTTTACCTTTCTGACCTTTGAGGTTAGCAAAGCCCTGCAGAGTAAAGCGCTTCTTGGAAAGCGCAGAGCTTTCTGAGGTAGAGCTAGTGACTGTGTCATCTACAAAGGAAGAGAAAGGGACAGTGCAGAGGGTGTCCGCCACCCAGGGGGTCTCTGGGGAGGGCACGTGTCAGGTCAAGCCAGGGCTCACCTCTGGGCTGGGTTTGCCAGTCTGGGGCACACACTGACCGTGAGGAAGACGGGTTCCTCTGGGAGGTTCCAGTGCTCTGTGCGGGGTGGGTGGGGACCCCTGAACTCTTTACAAATGCTTCTCGTGCCCACAGGAGGCTGTGCACCCCTGATATGCTCCCTAATGGACACCTGTGATGCAGTTCCCGATATGCCTGGGTTTGGAGGCTGCAGACACCCACCTTTGCCCTTTTCGGGGGGTTTTGGCAATGTTGTTGGGCTCACGTATCCTTCCAGGCTTAGGGGGTCTGTTTTTCTTTCTTCCAACTTTTTGACGTTTCTTGGGTTCCCTTTCGTAGGACTAATGACACATTGAAAAAGAAACTGTAAGTTGCCTGGTTAGTTTTTCAAAATTCTCCCTGAAGATTTGAGGTGACAGGACATCCCTGAATTCCTTTCTAGTCTTCACAGTACATGTCCTACCGCTGCAGAAGGGCCACACATTTCTAGATTAAGCTCAAATGGAACGAGTGAGGACAAGACCACCTTCCTGGCCAGTGAGCAAGAGGTGTTTCTCTTTTTTGGGGGGAGGGGTCTTTTTCTTTCAAAACCGTTGTTCTATGGATTATTCATTTAGACCATCTTCTGTTCCACACATGTTTAGAGGTGGCTTAAGTAAGAAACAAGAATAATAACATGAAAAAATAAGTGAATGAATAAAATATCAAAGGAAAAGTAAGGGCAGGAAGGGTTTGACAAAGCCGTCATGAGGCTGGTGTCTGAAATGTGCCCACGTCTGCAAGTTGCGGCTCTGAGCCTCTAGCACCCACGGGTCTCCGTCTGGGGGCTCCTGTCACTGAAAGGCTAGCGATGAACTGTTACTTGGAATAGCCGCATCATATACTGATCGCCATGGGAAATAACCCACAGACAGAAAGTGATGAGAGCTGTCAGGGACTGGCCTCTGCCTTGGAGTGGGGCCAGAGGCACACGACCTTGAAGATGACCCACTGGGATTAGCCCACCAGCCTCTGACTCTACCTCTGTCTAGGTACTGGACAAATACAAAGTAACCCTACTAGCAGGAGAGTCTGGTGAAAAGGGCCAAGTAAAGTGTGTGGCCTGTGCGAATTCCTACTTGTGACTCTTCCCATGTGGTGGCGTTTCAAGTGCACGTGTCTCTCACCTCGTGCTGGACGATGCTGGCAGAGGCAGGCTCTGGGACTGCTCCAGCGCCCTGTGCTGGCTGGCTTCTGCAGGAGGAAACAAATACACCGCCCACGCATGGCTGGAGAACTTGAACCCAGCACCTTCACTTCTAAATGCTACATTATCTCAGATAGCTAAGAATTCTGAGATTGCTTTGAACATATGTAAAAATGTTCCTGGAGCAAAAGCTAGGAGAAAATAATCGCCCAAGACAGTCTTACCTCGACAAGCCTGCAGCTGGCTGGTCAGCACTTTCCGAATCTCACTCACCCACGCTGCTTTAATCTCAGGAGTCGGTGCCTATCCCCCCAAGAGAAATGCCAGGAGGTAAGTTCTGCCATTCCCTAAAGACACATGGTTTTGTATTTGACTCTTGAAACTTCTGAGGATGATCTTAGATAATGAGAGCATTGTACATGAGAAAGGAGGAGGGAAGAATCGGTGGCACATCCCTTTGTTTTGGGACTTTGCCCAACGAGCCAGGGCATGATCGAACAGGGCCCAGGGCACTGCCACACCAGCCAATACGTTTGCACAACCCTGATGGCTGACTCAGCGGGGAAACCCTGTGGCATTAACTGCTCCTTGAGAGTAAGTTTCTCTGGGAACTGGCTCTGATACCATTTTAGGTGACAAGGGTAGCAGGAGTCTGAAAACTCACAAGTAGATTCTAAACTTCCAGGGGGTGGGGGACTTTGAGGAGTATGAACCAAGGCCAGAGCTCTGTCTTCCCTCAGTACAGTGTGGGGCCTGAGGGGTAGTGCCAGGTGGGCAGTTGGGTCTGTGGAAAGCCAGAGCGTTGACCCATATCCTCGCCTTAGCTCCGTGGGGCCCCTGGGTCTGGCTGTTCTGTAGTGTTCTGGGCTCAAACCATGAAGTGGGTTAAAATTCTGAAAGCAACCAGGAGAGGCACATCCCCGTGCCTGCTGCCCCATTCATAGGGCACCTGGGGTCTTGCATGAGCTCACAAATGCACTTACAACCTCGCCCAGCTCCTGCCCTCACCGGTGAGGTGTGGGCAGGTGAGGACAGGTAAGGACTCAGAACACACTTCCCGCTGAGAGAACCAAGTCATGCATGTAAATGTGGCACAGGCTGGCTGGGCTCCCTGCACCGTCCAGGCACACAGAGCCAGGGCCACAGTAGCCTCAGACTCATGCTTCTGGAAAGACACTCCTGACACCCCTAACCTGCATTGTTTCCCTGTACTGTGCCCTGGGTTCAGCTCAGGTTAAAGATAGCTCAGGGTCACACCCTGAGATGAATAGTGGTGCTCCTGGCCTCTAGGAACTAAAATATCATGGAAGAGTCTAGACACCAGCTCTCACTAGAAGCCTTCCATTGGTAATCCCAGAGACTCGAGGAGTCCCTAATGTCTGGCCAGAGAGAGAAAGATTGGGGTCCTACCTGGATGATGTAAACTTCCTCCCTGGCGTTGTACCAGATCTCAAACTTCTTCACATCACCTTTCACGTTCTCTGTTATGCCAACAGCTGTCATCTGAGAGCACAAAATAGAAAGACAGGTATTAGTTTTCAGATGGGGGCTAAGGATGCCAGAGATCCCAGACGCCCGCATTCAAAGATAAGAGGCACGTGCCAGAGGGTGGATGTCATGATCAAGGCTCAGTTACCACCTGGAGCAAGTCCCCGATCCTTCTCTTTAGGGCCAGTGCCAGGAAGGTCTGCAGCTGCTGGGAACAGGCCTTACTCACATTTAAGGACTGCTTGTAGCTGTAGGACGGGGCTTTTTCGTAGCCTTCCCCATTCTCCTCTCTCTTCTTGCAGAAGAGCACGGCCTTCTCGTGCAGGAACAGGTGCCGCTGCATGGGCTTGAACCGGGCCAGGTCCTTCACCTTGGCGTGGCCCTTCTTGTGGTCCGTCCAGACACTGAAGGAGCCCTGCATCAGCAGCTTCCCCAGGTCACTCAGATTCCCCTAAAACATGGAGCAACACAGGGAGCATTTAAAGCCCAGAATGAACATGGGGCACTCTAAATGCATGTTGCTGAGTGAAACATCACTGGGGAGGATGAGTTCCAGGTTTCAGCCACGTCACATTCAGAAGGCGGCAAAGCTATGGGGACAGTAAACAGATGAGCGGATTCTAGCAGTTGGGGGACAGGGAGGGATGAACAGGTAGAGCACAGGGGATGTGAATGGCAGTGAGACTTTTCTGTAAGATAACTGCCAGGGTGGACCCATGTCATTATACATTGATGCAAACCCACAGAATGAGCAACACCACGAGTGACCCCGATGTACACTATGTGTCCATGTTGTTTCATTGATTATAGCAAATGTCCCACTCTGGTGGGGGTGTTGATAATGGGGGAGGCTGTGTGTGGGGGCGGACAGGGGATATATGGGAAATCTCTGTACTTTCCCCATGATTTTACTGTGAACCTAAAACTACTCCAAAAATAGTCTATTAATGAAAAGAAACCAAGAATGAGTGCTGAAGAGACTTACAGAAAGGCAAACAAATTAATAATATGGCCTGATACAGGCACACAGAGGAGAAAGTCTAAATCTGACTTTAACGCTCACTTGTTATATGTTATCAAAAGAACATCAGAGAAAAGAGATTCACACCTGTTCCCTGAGTGATGCCGACCTCAGGAAAAGACCAGGAATGAAGAGGTTTTCAGAGCTGCACCTCCTGGTTTTCTCTATATGTTGTTGAGCCCCCATGCAGCCCCGCCCCAGCCCCCCTGAGTCAGACTGGGTTTATACCCATGCTCCTCAGAGCTCAAGGGCACAGCTCTGCATCAGCTATGGACTGGCCTCAGACGGCCGCCTGGCAGATCCCCCCACTAGCAGGCTCCTTAGCACCTCCAGCAGGATGGAGGAGAAAGGCAGGAGCACCCCCAGCGGTCCTTACGTCATAGCCTGTGATGGCAATGAGGTGCATGGAGTCATTCACGGCCTTGAGGATGCCCAGGATGGAGCTCAGTGCCTCCTGCAAGTCCTCAGCCCCCTCGCAGCTCTTGCTGTATTTCAACATTTCCTGGGGATGGGGGGTGGGAGGGAGAAGTCATGTTCACACAACCATCTGGACACTGATCCCTACCACCCCCTGGAAAGCTGCTGGAATGCCAGTACTCTGCCCCAGAAGTGCACCCTGGGTGGCCCTGAACGTGCACCCTCAGGACACACGGTGTGGCTCCCTGCTCAGTCATCACTGCCGAGGATAAGACCACACATGCATGTGGACACTCATACCCTCTCTGAGTGTGGGCCAGCCCAGGGACCACTGGCCTAGGAGCAGCTCAGGAAGCTGCCTTCCCACCTCCCTGAAGCCCCTGTACCCCACCCCTGTACTTCAGCCCACAACAGCCCAGATGGAGGCTGCAAATCGGGGCATCCCCTGAGCCAGTGGATACTTACTTGAGCTTGGCAAGTGCAGGCCTCTTGCAATCCCCAGGGTCAGCACCCTCGTGCAGCTCTGACCCCAGCAAACTCAGACTGAGACCCCCATCTCGTATTTCCCACTTCTAAACTGGTTACTCCTTCCTTTCAAATTTGACACCCTGAATGAGCACCTGTTATGTGTGTGCTCTTCACGTCCATTCACTCGCTCACTCTGGCCTGCGGCGCGCCTCTGGGGGGCCCACAAAGATAACTGACACAGGCCAGGCCTTGCTGGGAAGACCGGCGTGGGAACGCAGCCCAGTGTCGGTGTGGACACCCTTCGAGCCTGTGATGCCCGCGGTGGGGTTTGCCCATCTATTCACCTGGAGTCCTTGCCCTTGCCCTACCAATGACCAGCACACAGTAGGCTCTCCACAAAGCTCTGTAAAGAGCCAGGCCCTTGCAGAGATGGGAAGAAGGTGGCTCAGAGACCGCAGCAATCAGAGGTGGCTGGGGTAGCCGCAGCTAGGTGGGTGCATAGCTGGGAGAGGACAGTAGCAGCAAGGGTGGCCGCTGGGGGCAGTGACGGAAGTGGGGCTCTGGGGGATGCTCAGACAGGCATGGCTGTCCGCTGTCTCACCTTGAGGAGCAGCTGGTATTTGGTGATCCTCTGGACTGGCTTCAGCAGGTAAGAGTCCAGGCTCAGCTTGTGGTCCAGTTTCTTCTGGCATTCCTACAACCACCACACCTCTGGTTTAGACCATTTTCTTACTGTTTGAGAGTCAACTAGTAAAGGAGATTATACTCTAAAGAAAGTCCTGAAACATACCTGGAAAAACGGGCAGTCGGAGCACTGTCTCCACAGGCTCTCAGAGCGGGGCTTGTTCTGGCAATACTTCTCGTAGATTTGGAACTCCTCCATCTGGACCCGGGACAGAGGGAGTCACAGAGTGGCTCAGAGGGGCCAGCCTGACCTCTTTCTGGATCCCAGGTCACCCCTTTCATCTCAGACACCACGTTCCTCATTGTGGGACAGTCAGACAATACCCCCCCCACTGAATTAGTCCTGATACCCCTTTTATACAGATTAGCTCAATACAGCTGGCTTTTGCCATAGGAATAACAGTCTAAAAATAAACATAGGACTAACACAGACTTTCTAAAGAGCTTAGCCCACACAGTGGTGCTCAAACTTGCAAGCACATCAGAATCCAGGGCAGGCTTATGAAAACAGACCGCTCCCCCTGCTAAGGTTCTGATTCCGTAGGTCTGGGGTGGCACCTGAGAACCTGCATTTATAACAAGTTCCCAGGAGACTCTGATGCTGCTGCCAGGTGACCCACTTTGAGAACCATGGACCTACAGCATGATGGCCCCACCCCACTTCTCAAATAGCACTGAGAAGCATTAGGCTGAGTTAAACACCAATATTGCCCCTCCTTTCCCTCCCTTCTGCCCCTTCTTATCAATTCATTATAACAGTCTCAGCCTCCAGCTTATTTTTTAGAAATGACTTCGTTTTACTGCTGTTAGTCAGCGACATTTTCCATGTTGCTAAACTAGCAGTTATGGAGATCAGCGTAAGAGGATCACATGGGACCTTGCAGAGAAGACAGCAGGCCCCTTTCCTGCTCCCAAAGCTTCTCAACCCCCTTCCTCTCCACACACACTTTAGCTGATCTCCCTGCCCTGGAAGGAGGCAGACATCTACTATTCCAAAGACGACAAAGATAAAGCTCGGGGAGTGTGGGTGACTTGTCCGGTGTCAGCTGGTCAAGTGAGGGAGACTGAACCAGGGCAAGAGCAAACACAGAACATAACACCAGCATGAGAAAGGTTCGGCTTCACCTAACACAACCAAAACTTAGATGCTTGATAATTTTGGCATGTCTCAAAGCTTATTCCCTGGATGGTGCTGCCCACCAGTTAGAGCGTCAGTCTGTGCACTGAAGGGTCTCGGGTTCGATTCCCGGTCAAGGGCATGCACCTGGGTTCCCGGCCCCAGTTGGGGAGCGTGCGGGAGGCAACCAATTGATATGTCTCTCTCACATCAACGTTTCTCTCTCTCCCCCTCCTTTTCTTCCTCCCACTCTCTCTGAAAAAAAAAAAGAAAATCAATGGAAAAAATATCCTTGGGCGGGGATTAACAAAAACAAATAAAAAAACAAAACAAAAGCTTGTTTTATTAGTTTTTCTCTTTTTAAAACTAGTTATTGGGCTTTAGAAAAAAAAAACACATTCTTTGAGCCCTACCAAAAAGTGTCAAGTAAACCAAACTGGAAATGTTGGTACTTTATGATTTCAGTTGGGGACAGTAATAGAATTTGAAGTTATTATTTTAAGTACTAATAATTTTAGGAAGTAAGACACAGGAAAGTATACATTTAAAAAAACACATACCCTTTCTAGAAAACACCTTCCAACCAGCTCTGGGCAGTCTATGTAGTTTTCTAGCTCCCTCAGGAATATTCTAGACAAAGAAAGTTTGCATTAGGTCATGTGATAAACAGCCTGAATAAGAGGGCATCTGTAACAAATTAATAGCTATCATTTTCCGAACAAGTTTTATTCCTAACTCTGGACAGTTCAGATTTTATGTGTGAGAATACATAGTCTGATTTCAGGGACCTACAGCCCAACCTGTCACTCTCAACCTCTCAGGGGTGGGGTGGGGCTGGCTGCTGCTGGTCCTGAAGGACAGGGAGAGGCAGGAGGGGAGGGCTGCTCCTACACAGTCACGCTGACAGAATTCTGAGGCATCTCCCCACTTCGGGCTGAGGCCCATTTGTACCCACTCACCCCAGCTCAGACAACTAGCCCCGGGCACGTCCCACCAAGCTGCTGCTTAGTCTGTGGCCCTCTGTGAGCTTATCCCCACTTCAGGGAGGAAGGAAGGAATATTCTCCACCAGCAAAGCACGGCTCAGAGGCCGTTTTGGTTTCAGCTCCCTGCAGGCGACTACTTTAGAGGCCAGACATCACTGTGGTGAGAGGAAGGGTCCCACCTGTTATGAAAGTGGTAAATCTCTTCCATGTTCCCAAATAAAACATCCTTCTTGTTTTGAAGGCCTGCTGAGATGAGATGTGCCATTAAAGGATTATCCATCTCAGCAGCGTAGCCCTGTGGGAGAAGAGAGAGGTGAGCAGGGAAATCCTGACTGACCGCTGACAGACCTTCGGGCCGTTTTGACAGCAGCCCAGTCGTCTGGCACCGGAGCCCTGCCTCCCCAGGACTGCCTAACCGGGCGGGTGACGCTGTCTCAGGTTTTAGAAAGCAAATCTACTTCGTATTTATTTACTGACCATTTTTAAGAAGATCGTCTGGAACATATCACAGAATATGAATGAATTACAAACAGCACCAGTTTGGGGGGCAGGGGAAGGGAGGTTCCATCCTTTTGCTCCCGTTTAGCGTTTTCAAGATCCAGGTGTAACTTCTCTGAAGGGGACAAATCTTATGTGTACACCTTGATGAACTATTTATATGACTACATCCCTCAACCACCGCCCAGATCAAGATGTAGAACATTCTAGCACTCAGAAGTTCCTCTGCCCTTCCCAGGCAACAGCCACCGCCCTGGCGGCGCCCACCCCAGACTGCTCGGCCTGCCTGCACCTCCTTTATGGGACGGCACCCGCTCTTGCCCGATTCTCCCACTCGTCACCAGGCTCCTGAGGGTCCTGTGTGGTTCTGTGCGGCAGCAGCTCTTTTTCTTGCTATAAATACTGTCCCTATGCAAATCCACCTAAATCTACTTGTCCCTGTACTGCTGACAGATATTTGAGTTGCTTCCACTTTGGGGCCGCTAAGAGTAGAGCTGCCACGAACCTTCTTTCCGCATGCTTTTTGGGGGACACGAGACTACACAAGGCGGGGACGCCCAGCCCATGGCACACTCCAGGCCACCGCCCAGGTGCAGGCTCACCTCCAGGACACAGAGCAGCTCCTCCACGTAGACCCGTTCCGTGTCAAGGAGCTCGTTCATCACGTGCCTGTGAACGAGGCGATAGAAATGATCTAGGAGCAGATTCCCGGCCCCGTCTCCCTGCTGTGGGGCCACCTGCGCAAAACAAGCCCCGATCCCTCAAGCCTCCCTCTCTTCCAGGTCACGTCTCTGAGTCTCCCAGCCTTGCAGACTGAGACCTGCTTCCTTCGTCAGCCACCCCCTCCCCCAGGAAGCGCCCCCCCCATGCATGCACACTAGTCTCCTTGCCTGGGGGCCACTGTGCACCAACTCAAGGCATCGTTATAGCCGGGCCAGTGTACGTCACGACCTTCTTGCATGTCGTGGGGTATAGTGATGATATGTGGAACTACTACGTGCCCATCATATTACGGAGTCCCAGGAGGGGTATAGGTTTGCAAACCAGCTGCTCAGATGTCTTTTTAGGGATGAGGGCCACCTTCTAACTGCCTACGACCGAGCACCCCATTTTAATACATAGGAATGAGAGCCCAGGGGGTGCTCCTTGGTCACGTATCCTGGATACTGAGCATAATCAGGTCTAAAACAACTGTGAGCACTTAACAAGGCTGTAGGCTTCAGTTCAAAGAGCCAGTGATCCTTAGTGGGGTGAAGTGTGTGTGGGGTAGACAGAGACCTCAGGCCCCTTCTCACCATCACAGCTGGAGGAGAGCGCTCCTGTCTGGGAGCACAGAGCACAGTGTGGGCACAGAGGGAAAGACGTCCCTGGTGGAAAACTGAGCTAGATGCTGAGGGCCAAGCAGCGTGTTGGGGACAGGGGCAGCATTCCGAGTGCTGAATCTCAGAGTGTACAGATGCAGGAAGGTGGCAGGGTGCAGGCTACTTTTGTGGAGAGGTGAAAGGCCCAGCTAGGCTGGAGGGTAGGGTTCTTTGGGGAAAGTGACTGCCAATCCTGGGAAGGACTCTGGAAGTGCCTTTCCTGTCAAGTCCAGAGTTCAGACCTCAGAGCTCTGTGCGGGGACAGAAGCAATCCCAGGATGGAACGTGCAGGACGCCCACTTGCAGGTGCCATGGAAACAGTCTAGGTGTGTAATAAGAAACAGTCTACGTGGGTAAAAAGGGCTGGCGGTGAAAAATGTGTGAAAAAAGCAGAAGGGGAGAGATGAAAGAGAAGTGAAACCCAGCACAGGGAGCCAGGAGGGCCCTGAAAGGCTCCCGGGAGGGACCAAGGAGACGGGGCAGTTATGTGGTTGGCCCTGCACGTGGGACCCAAGGGCCTGGGTGGGCTGAATCACACTTGTCTTCTCACCTGGTCTTGAAGAAGGGAGAACACGATCCTTTTCAAATCATTATAGTCCCACCTGGGGACCCAGGGGAAGTATGACTTTTCTAAGGAAAACCTACATTTCTCGTGGTTTCAGATGCAGACATGCCAAACGGACACGTGTGCTCTGTGTCTGTACACTGCACGATGCATGCGTGTGTGTGGACCCCACGGCGCCAGCTGGGCTTCCACATTGAGTTTTGGGGTGGGGGCTGGCCTTTTTCACCAACTTTGGCTTGTTTGTGTTCAGACTGTCCTGGCCCAAGGCTGAGATCTGGGTGAACAGCACCTGTGCCTGGACCAGAGGCGCTCAGTGGCGCTGGGAAAGGCAGCCCACCCACCTCCGCAGGATGGCCAGGCTCTCCTCCTCGTCGCCGGTGGAGCCGCTCCGGCCCTGCCGGCTCTCACTCATTTCACTCTGGAGAGAGAAGGGCACGTGGTACGTCAAGATTCCAAAAACGAAAAATACAGCTTAACGTCCTGTCTCTAAGGCTCCGGAGTCCAAGCTCGTTTTCCATCTGGGAACAGATCTGCAACCTGAGATCTCACGGGACGAGCAGGGGAGGAAGGGCCTGGCCGAGCTGGCCCAGGTGTGGGAGGGGGCCAGGGAGAACTGGCCGGGGAGCCTGCCAGGGAGGGCGAGGTGACCAGGAGGCGGTGGGGCTCGGGGCAGTGCGGGATCTGCGCCAGGGACGGTGGGGCCTCACCTTGGCCCTCCTGTAGGGCCCTCTCCGGAGTGCACTGCCCTCAGAACTGTTGTTCTCAGAACCCCTCCGGACACCTGGTTTGGGGAGAAGAGAGAAAAGTGGGCGTAACTTTGTATATTGCTGCCTGTGGAGGGAAAAGCACACCCAGGGGTGTCTGGAATTTATTTTTTTACTTGCAGAGGAAAAAAGCAAGCATCCTAGAGAAGCGTGAGGAAAACACAGCAAAACTGTGAAGGAAGAAAAATGGGGCCTGGAGATGAGGTGGGGGGAGGGGACACGGGGAACCACCTGGGGTCAGCCCACTGGTTAGTTCACATCCTGAGAGGGGCTCCCAGCCGACAGGGGATCGGGTGACAGGGGCAAGAACCTCTTGACCAGGATACTTCTGGTTTAGGGGGCCTCCAAAGAGGCCAGAGAATGGTGTCCTCTGAGCCCACACACTGGGGGCTGGGAGCCAGCTCTCCAGGGCTCTCACCAGCTGAGGACACTTGCCAAAGCCCTGAAGGAGCCAGCAGGAGCTCGCAGCTGCCGGGTAAGAGTCTGAAGACAGGGAAGGGAAGAGAAGGAGTCTTCAGGAAATGGCGCTGCATCCAGCCAGCCTTAGAGAAGGGCTGCACTGGGGGGAGGTGAGATGAGGGGCTGCGGCTGATGAACTGTGCTGCCTGGGGGTGGCTGAAGTGGCTAAGGCATCGGACACAACGCAGGGAGGCTCTGGGGCTGAGGCTGCAGTGGTGTGTGGGGAAAACTGTTTTGGCAATAGCAAAACTATTTTGGACAGATGGGTTGGGGAGAAATTAGAGTCCAGGGAAACAGGCCCAGGAAAGTCCTGTGATGGTTGAAATTCCCGTTCTGAGGGCCACACGCAATCAGCTGTGTGGTGCTCAGCGCTGAAGCAGCACAGATGAGAGCAAAGAAATAAGTGGGCCAAGTGCCAATAAAACTTTATTTGCAAAATAGATCATGGAACGGAAGGAGGGCATTCCCTGAAGGAGGGAGGCATGCTTACACATACCTGGGGAGGGGCAGGGTGACTTCGTGAGCGCCTCTGGCCGGGGGGCCACTGGCTGCACGGGCCTTGTCTGCTTGGCCGCCAGCTTCTTCAGGCTTGCCTGTCTCCGGTGAAACATCTCTTCCATACTCTCTTGCTTCTGGAAGACCTTCTGTACGTGTTCCTGAAGTGACAGGGTAGGACAGACTAGTTAGCAGGATGCCTTGTAAGTGTCGGTGTCTGCAATTTAAACAACCACGTGTAGACGTGGCCTCAGCATGACCTCCGTTTTTAATGCTCATGACGCAGCACCCATCGCCAATGCAGCAATCCTGCACTGGCTCTGCTCGCTCTGGAAGGGGAGGGGTGGCAACCCCACTGCGGAATGCGGGACGCCAGACCTAGAGGAAAGCCAGTGGAAGGGAGGGACACGCAGCCCTCTCCATGCATCTGAAGGCTGCCTATGGAAGGAGCAGTAGACCTGTGGGCTGTCTTGGGGTGGGCTGAGTACAGCTGGCCGAGAGAGAGGAGTCCTATTTCAGCACAGTATTGAGAAGAGCACACAGGAAGCAGGGCCCATGGAAATGGCTACTTCACCAAGAACATGCCCCTTGCAGGGGTGATCCCACAGGAGGAAGGACCATCACCTTTTGAGGGAAGCATGACAATGATTTCTGCATAAGGAAAGTTAAGCCAGATGGCATCCCCCCCAATTTGACATCTCTCTCAAATGCCTACTATCCTCTAAGACTCATGATTCTTTTGAACATAATCAGAGTAATTCCCCACCACTCGGGACAGGTGAGCTGTAGGTGAAAGCCTGAGTTCGCATACCATTAGGTCTTGGGTGAGGATGGGTTCGTAGTCCTGGTAAATTTTATTGAGCTCCTGGATCTTATTTTCTGCACCGGTCTCCAAAAACTTCTCAATTTCTTGGAGGGCCGCCTCAGCACCATCCTGGGACTGGCACTTATCCACAGGCTGGGAGGCCAGCAGGTAAATCCCCTCATCGCACCATTTCATGGACTGGACACGTGAAGCGTTGCAGGGGGAGAGAATGGCACTGTTAGCTGCTGTGTCCGGGCTCTCTTTGCTGGGGCCTGTTGGCTGCCTCCAGTGTGGTCTGCTGGCTGCTATATTTTTGGGAATATCTGCAGCACTACATCATCTTAGTTCTGTTGCTATGTCCAAAGGACCCCCCTGGAGGGAGCTCAGTGCTCTAAACAGTTGGGAAAATCCCCCAGGATGGGACTCATTTACACACACAGAGAGAGGCAAAGTGCAGCGAGTTAGCTGCATGGTAAGTTTCTGGGCCTTTTAAAGAAATCATTAGTTGTTGCAAGTGAATTCTAGAAAACAGACAACTGTGTCAGGACATGACCACCTGGGCCGCTAGAAAGGCATCCAGACAGAAGGGCATGGCCAGCTTCTAATCAATGGCTGTGGTGTATCCCATGTGGAGGGAGCTGCAAAGAGTGAGTTTGCCATCAGAGGTATGGGGTTGGGGTCCTACCGCTTCCAGGAGGCCGTGAAGCTCTAGGGACTTGTTGAGTAGACCCTTCCTCTGCGCAACCTCGGCAGCAAACTGGTCACAGAGGTCCTGGAGCTCGTGGCACTTGGGGCGGATGGAGTCCACGGCGTAGTGCTTGTTGTCGATGAGCTGCTCCCCTTTCAGGGACAGGGCGCGGGCCCGCTCCACAGCTGCCTGCAGAGAGCCACCCCAGAGACACAGCTCAGCTTATGTTCAGTATAAGCAAGCAGGGTGCTATTTCCTTTGA